ACCCAATGCTGCCCAAGCCCACAAGTCCAACATTAACCCATTAACCCAACACCAGTCCACAAAGTCCTCCACCTCACAAAACAGAGGCAATGATGCCGACTGCAAGACGAAAGCTGAGTCAGTAAATGAATAAGCATCTCAGCACTAGCAGGGGTCTCCACACGGCTGCTCCAGCACCCAGGGCTGCATCGGGATAGGTCCATGTAGCTTCTCCTTGGGGATGTCTTGTAGGAAATCAATCTTGCAAGCTGAAGCAGGGAACTGCTAAGGCAGCTGCACCCGGTGCAACCATCACAAAACAAGAGACCCAAGAACTAGAAAGGCGAGGCTCACTACCCATTTATCCCTCTGCCTTTCAATTAGCCCCACATGTGATTATCGGCCAGGCTGGCACAATTAACTAACTCACATTCTAATACATTAATTGAATATAAGAAATTAATTTATTAAAATAAAATTTCTTTTTCACAGATTAAGCAAAATGTCTATTTCTTAATCTCTCCCTTTCTTAACTTCATCACTTTGCATAATGAAGACAACCATTATCTAGTCTATCATTATTTATTATAAATCTATTAAAAATAAAATTATTGCCTGCATCTAAATCATTTTTAAAAATCTACTTTAAATGGTACTAAGCAAAATATCCACAGATCCCTAAGAATAAATTAGTAAGCAAAATATCCACAGATCCCTAAGAATAAATTAGTACATCCTTTAGCATAATCCCAGGGCATGTTCATCTTTATCATATATTGCATCATTATCGGTGTATCCTAACATATAAATTGAATACAGCGCAGCTCTAGACTGCATCATTCACATTGTGGTAGTTACATATCAACTAGAAGATATGAAAGTGTAGATGTAGAATCTAGCCTGTCAATCCAGTCAAAGCCTGATGGTACCTCCTCGTGGGCATGCCCATCTCAAAAGGGGGGGCCCTGGAAACTTCCATCTCTCTCTTCCTTCACCATCATGCCAGCAAGTCTGAGACCTGCCAGGGCCATGGAGACACATCTACTGCCATTGGATCCACAAGTCTTTATACCCATAGGCCTGTGATCTTCCTGCATTCTGCGTCATTGCATGTATATGTGTGAGTCTGAAGAGGGACTGATGGAATAGTATCGTACTTATGGACTTGAGTTAGACTGGCTGAGATGTTTTATTGATAAATAATTACTTCTTGATTTAAAGCTATTTCTTACACATATGTGTCACTGAATTTGTTTCTCTTGTCAACCCAGCTTACTACACAAACATTATACTTTGAACAACAATCCCTAGATATGAGACCAATATATATAATCATTCCATGTGAGCCATAACTTTTCTGGTCTTGTATTGTTTCAAAAATCAAGCAATTTATCAACTCAAGCTTTGACAACTTACTTTATCAAAGTATTTACTAAGTATGTTCTCTGTAAGTTATTAATCTTTCTCTAATCCTTGTACTGTCTTTCTACATAGAGCACGTCATTGGTCCTGAGGGGTTTATTTGTCCTAGATTCCCTGTTAAATCTATCCTTTTATATAGATATAATCTATATAAACCCTGTTTATATATAATCTATATATACTGCCCTGGTTTTGTTTCTCTAGAGAACCATGCCTGACACAAATGGATAATGAAATTTTGGTATACAGTACACCCACAATGGAATACTCTGCATGGTTAAAAATCATTCACGAAACCACAAAGCACACCTTATGACACAGATCGCCCTGTGAAACACTGTGCTCAGTGAAGTTAGTTAATCACTAAAGGACAAATATTTTATGAGACCACTGTTATAAAGAAAACAACAACAACAAAACTGAAACAAGACCATGACTTTCACACCAAAGGGAACAGACTTTGCAGGATAAAGAGAGGGTGGTGTGCAAGTACAAGAAGATGAGGCAAGAGGCTAGGAAGTTGACAGCAAGCCATAAGAAGGCAAAGAGGAGTCAGTGGCAGTGGCAAGGTAAGTGAATGCAAGGCAGAGGCTGGGGGTAGGGGAGGGTGGGAGGTGGTGACAAGTAGTTTAAATAGTTGAATACAAAATTGAAGATATGAAATGTAAAAGGCCACATTACTTGAATTTTTTAAAAATGTTTTAGAAGCCCATGGCACACGCAATCAAAAGATCAAAGGGCAGACTGCACTGGAAAAATCTACAGCAAAAAAAACAAAAACAAACTCTTGAAAGTGTCAAAAGCAAAGATGCCTTTTTGAAAACTAAAATACACCTGACCAAAGCCATGGTGTTTTCATCACCTCAAACACACGTGAAAGCTGAACCGTGAACAGGGAAAGTGAAGGACTGCTCGCTTTGAGTAATGGTGCCGACAAAGACTCCTAAATACACCCACAGAATGCCAGAAGACCGATACATCTGTCTTGGAACAGGTATGGCACGCATGCTACTTATGAGAGAGGATTGCAAGACTGTCAAATGCTTTGGCCACGGTTTCAAAATGGACCAGCCCCTAGATGACATCATGCTTGGAAAAGAACTATCAGTGAAAAAAAGAAAAATCCTAAAGGAGATGATTGGCAAAGTGGTTACAATGGGCTCAACACACTGAATGGTTTCTTTTGTTATGCTTATGATTGCTATGAGTTAGACCATTTCAACAACAATTAATGATAGCACTTAACAGCAACAACATCCTTTGTAGGAACATTAGGAAAGCTATGAAAGAAAGAAAAGAAAAAGAGAGAGCTTCTTTGGGAACTGTTGCGTTCAGTTAATCTGGACAGCTTTCTTTACCATCGGACTTCTTCACTGCAGAGCTTTCACCTGTAGGTATATATTCTAAAAGAACATTGCTCTCAGATGGATTATGAACCAGGCAGATCTTATCAGACCAAAGTAGAAGTGCCTATACCTGTACATCTTTATGAAAGCTGACTGCTGCCCTCAGGGTTCCTGTCTTCTTAGGGTAACAAACATTGAAAATCTCTAAGAATCCACTGTCCCTCTCCAAGAAGGGATATTGTCCACCAGTTTCCTATTGTTCTTAGCTGCCTCCAAGTTGATTCTTCCTCATAGTGAAACGATATAGAACAGTATTGAAACACTACCTGGTCTTCGGTCATCCTCACAGTTGTTGCCATGCTGGAGTTCAATGTCACAGCCACTGTGTAATCAATCTCTTTAAGGGCCCCCTCTTTCTCGCTGACCTTCTACTTTACCAAGCAAGATGTCAACTAGTCCAGATGCGAGGATCTTGCTTTGCTTTACATTGAACTGTAATCCATATTGAAGGCTGCAGTCTTTGAAGGGGCCTTTGCTTCTTACACTGTCAAAGTTTTGCTCATTTGAAGAGAAAACAAAACAAAACAACCCCCGCCCACCCCCACCCCCCGCAAAAAAAAAAAAAACAAAAAAAACACCAAAAGAAATCCCCACTACTCAGGTTTTGTGCTTTTTAAAGTCTAAAATAAGCAGTTTAGAAGAGGTGTTTATGCATTGGTGTCAAATAGTTCAATTGGAAAAAATGTAAAAGCCTCGTAGTAGGTGAAATTTACTCTTTTAATGGGGTTTGATGGCATTTAGTGACTCTTAAAACCCAAATATTAATTATTCTTTATTTGACATTCCACCAGCTTGAATTTGCCAATTGTTTTGTTTCCAGAGGAAATGATGACTCTCTCTAGGCAATAAAACTACCACAAAACCTTAGTGTGTGGAGAGTTCAACCTCTAGTAGGCGCTGAGATCATGGAGGAGGATGATCTGGGTTCACTCAATGACTGGCTCACTAATGTCATTTAGTTGTTTTGCATTTATTTATTCAAGAGGCCTTATCATGAATTAGGGTAGTCCTGCAAAATGAAGAACGCCGTGTGTGTGTGTGTGTGTGTGTGTGTGTGTGTGTGTATTTATGTAGGTGAACATTCTGCTTAAAACTACGAGGGTAAAGTGGAGCTAATATCAAGGAGTACAAGAGAGAAGAGAGTGTTTTGAAACTGATTGTTGTAGCAACTGAACAGTACTACTTGACGTGATTGAACTATGGAATGATATCTGTATTCGCTCCCAATAAAATGGTTTTGAAAAATATATATGAGCATAAAATCTAATTCAATTTTACATCTAAACCCAAACTATATTTTTACAATTTGAAAAAAAATATATAGGTAGTTCAAGACATACAACCACTGAAATGAATGAAAGATGGAACTCTGAAACTTGACCCAGAATTTGTCACTATTTCAAAAACAACAAAACAACCAACAACCCCTAACCATCAGCAATCTGCCTCTGGTATATAACACAGATCTTCAGTCTACCTGCAGCTGTCACACACACAGTAAATGTATATAGCTCACTACTATGACTTTTAATGTACACATGTCCAAGTATTTACATATAGAAATACATATTCTTGTACCATAAATTATTACCTTTTATGTTGTATTTAGGATATTATACCTTCTGAAATTATGTGCCTAGGAAGGTTAAATTACTTTTTATTTTAATTTCAGGATAATGGGAGGAATAAAATACTGTTATATGAAAGGACCACACACTGGCATTGCTGAGTGAAGGATCAATATTATAATAAAGTCGGGAGTGGGGGGCGTTATGGTGAGTGGGTAAGGAGAGGTTATTGGTCTGACAAGGCTTGGAAGGTAACAATCACACACTGATTCAAGAGCAGCACAGGGATTAAAAAGGAAGGACCTTGCCACCCCTAGTCCCTCCCCTCCTAGCCTCTACATTTCCATACTTTTGAAGAAGCATACTTCACCTTGTCTCAGCTTTTCTCATTTCATAGGCCCCAATTAATCCTGAACTAGCCCCATCACCTGAAAATGATAAAGATACTTAGACCTAAAAGAACCATAACACATAACCACCCACTGCCACCACAGTTCCTCAAGAGCTTTCTGAACCTGTCAACTTCCACAGTGGTGAGATCATCTTCCTTCTCACTCATGAGGTAGTACTCCTTGTATAACATGCAACCCTTCATTTGGGAACCCAGTGGTTCGGAAGCGCTCACCTCAGTAGTAGTGCCCATCTCGGCAGACGGGCTGCACGTGCTGGTGTCTGGTGGAGCTGTGCCCACGCTGCTTCTAACTGGAGAGCTTGGGGCAGCCCCTATGATGGCCTCAGGGTAGGCTGAAGATGGGCTTAGATTCCCTCTCTTCTGAATCTTATTCCAGACTTTATTCATGTTATCAGCTAACTCATATAATAGCTGGACCTGAGAAGAAAGAAAAAGAGGGGAAATCAAGTCTTTCAATTGCTAATCAATATAAAATATGAGAAAATGAAAACCAGTCCAGGAAACAAGAATCTACCATGCAACATGGACACTATGAGTCTCAGGAGAAATGTAGAAAAAATAATGTACTTAGCATGCTTTAAATCTTAAGACACTTTAGCAAAACTGAAGTTTGAAAAAGACATAATGACCTTACTCACACTTGAAATTTGCAAAATACTCATCTTGTGATCTTTCCTAAGTACCCTAGTATTTGGCTAAGATAAACATAGATTATGGGACAGATTTCTTTTCATGTATGAATAACAGAATCAACACAAAGAAACACCTCTTAAAAACAGGACAAGACTAAAAATTAAGATTCAAATACATGCGGATTAATACAATTGCTTAATAAAATAAAATACAATTACCATTATTATTTATGAATGATTTCCATATCTACAATATTGCGAATTTTCTGATGAATAAACTTGAGGCTGGACTTTTTATACAGCAAAGTAAATTGAAAATGAATGGCATCATACAGAATAAAGAAAAGGAAAATGTTACACATAAGACTTTTCTATAGATAAAAAATATAAACTGCCCAACCTACTGTCCCCCTGGGTTATGTCATTCCAATATTCGGGTGGAGGGTCCACAAAACTATTCTGTTTAACTTGTAGATTGTTTGACTAAGTTCTAAGATATTTACATAAGACTTCATAAATAAGCATTAATCATGGAACTTGTATGACAACACATTGCCATCCACTGTATAAAACAAGCCCAGGGGGAAAAATGCAAACGAAATTTATAAGCAAATCCACAGCTGGACACCATATTCTACTTGCCACTATTAAAAAAAGAAAGAAAGAAATTCTCATATTTATAAGATGTTACAGCCCCAGGAAACATCCAGATGACGAAGCTGGCTTCTTATGTGGGCAGAACAGATGCATAAAAACACTGTTGTCAATCCTTATTTGATAGAAAGCAGCACTTGGGTTCACAGTTCTCTACCCCACCTCACCCCACCCCACTCCCCCACTCCCATGTCATTTGTGTGGTGAAGTCTTGATCCCTGGCTCATTTTGCTAAAAAACAATCTAATGTGTAGAGGTTGTGAAAAAGTGTCTTAGAAAAACTGCAGTTCAAATTATTTTGTGCATTGTGATGATGAGGTAATTTTTCTCACAAAAGAACTAATTCTGTGCTGCAAACTAAATAGATAAAAGCTTATTTTGCTGTTTATTAAACAAGTAGACAAATAAAACAGTGAAAGTAAAAAAAAAAGAAAAACACAGGTTCTAAACTGGTCATATAGCATACAATTTACTTCAAAGTACTACTACTTTTATTGTCACTACTTCTGATGTCCTTAAACTGTTAGCATTAAATAATTGTTTGAATATGACCCAGGTGTTATAGACTGAAAGTATCAACCAAGCTCTGACAAAGTTTAAACATGTTTTTACTTTTCGACATCTATGGCCATGAGAAGAGAGACTTAATGGGTCTGGAGAGAGTGAGCAAAGCCTCAGTGGGCTGTATCCCTGGAAGAGAAAAAGGGACTTGGGTGGGAAAAAAAGGTCATTCTAAACTCTAAGAACACCACAGGCAAGAGCCCAGATCAAGAAGTGATCAGAGTTAATAAGGGGTTAAATACCTCTCTGTTACCACCCCCACCCCACCCCCACGGCGCAGGCAATTTCCCCAGCAGGCGGAGTGTGATCAGCTGGTGCTGATCTGTGGCATCTAGTCAGTGAGCCAGTAGTTCCCATGGCACTGTTGTGGTTAGGTGCAGACCTTTAAGCTCCAGCTCATAGCAACCTATGTACACTGCCCTGGCCCGTGCCCACTGGTAGGGCACTGTGTCAGCCCATCTTATCCAGGGCTTTCCTCTTTTTCCCTTGGCCCTTTACTTTACCAACTATGATGTCCTTCTCCAGGGACTGGTCTCTTATGAGAACATGTCCAAAGTACATGAGGTGAAGTCTCGCCATCCTTTCCTCTAAGGAGCATTCTGGGTGTACTCCTTCCAAGACAAGTCTGCTGGTTCCTTTGGCAGTCCGTGGTACTTTTAATGTTTGTTGCCAACACCACTGTTCAAATACACCCATTTTTCTTTGGTCTTCCTTCCTAAAAGATACCCGGTCTCAACAACCCTATATATACGGTCACTATGAGTTGGAGAAGACCAACATCCTCATGACCAGACTCAGAGGTCACGTCATGGTAAATGGTGACAATGCGGACGTTGTCGAGGGTGTCATCGTGCTGGGAGCCACAATCAGGGCTCAGGGAAGCAGCCATCAAGAGACCAAAGGACCCACTGCATCAGGTAAATCTGCTGCACAAGACCTCTTTAAGGGGTTGAAGGGCAAGGGGGCAGGGGTAATTTGAAGACTAAGGCACACCTGACCCAAGCCATGGTATTTTCGATTGATTCATACACATGGGAAAGTTGGGCACGGAATAGGGAAGACCGAAAAAGAGAGGAGTTTGAATTTTGATGCTTGTGAAGCATATTGAAAAGTATCATGGATTGCCAAAAGGACAAACAAATCTGTCTTGGAAGAAGTACAGATAGATAGAATACTCCTTGGAGGCAAAAATGGAGAGACTCTGTCTCATGTACTTTGGACATGTTGCCAGGAGAGACCAGCCCCTGCAGAAGGACATCATGCTCGGTAAGTAGAGGGGGGCAAAAGAAAATGCCTTCTAGAGATGGATTGGCACCATGGCTGCCACACGGGGCTCCAAGATGAGAACAGTTCTGCGGCGGGTGCAGGACCAGAGAGGGTTTTGTTTTGTTGTGCAGAGGGTAGCTGTAATTGTAATCAACTTGGGGCAGTGGTTTGGGATTTTGGCATCCTTTCCTGAGGAGCACTGGAGGCACAATGGTTAAAAACTCAGTGGGTTTGAGAAGAACAAAGCCCACATGGAAGAAACACACCAGCCTGTGTGATCATGAGATGGGATCAGGTATCAGGTATCAACAGAACAAAAAAATCATATCCATGTGAATCAGAGGGAGAGCACAGTAGAGACCCAATGCCCATCTGCAGACAATTGGACATTCCCTCACAAAAGGATCACAAGGAAGAGACCACTAGCCAGTCAGGGTGCAGTATAGCACCAAGGAAACATTCAACTTGCCTCTAGTTCTTTAATGTTCACCCCCTCCCACCACATTATCATGACCCCAAATCATGATACAAATCTGGCTAGACCTTACAAATCTGGCTAGACCAGAGCATGTACACTGGTACAGATAAGAACTTGCAACACAGGGTATCCAGGACAGATAAAACTCTCAGGACCAATAATGAGAGTAGCTATACCAGGAGGGTAGGGGGAAGGTGGGAGAAGAGAGGGAAACTGATCACAATGATCTATATATAACCCCCTCCCAGGGGGATGAACAACAGAAAAGTAGGTGAAGAGAGACAGCGGTCGGTATAAGACATGAAAAAAATAATATTTTGTAAATTATCAAGGGTTCATGAGGGAGGGAGGGAGGGAGGGAGGGAAATGAGCTGATTTCAAGGGCTCAAGAAGAATGAAACTTTTTGAAAATGATGATGACAACAAATGTAAATGTGCTTGACACAATGGATGGATATATGGATTGTGATAAAAGCTGTAAGAGCCCCCAGTAAAATGATTTAAAAAGAATTCAACAGTTCTTAACCTGAAAGGTTAGTGGTTTGAACCCCACCAGTAGCTTCAGAAGAACAAGATCTGGCAAGCTACTCCATATAGATGAACTCAAAACCAAACTCACTCTCATTCAGTTGATTAGACTTGTAGTAAGCCTATAAGAACAGCACTACCCCTATGTGGTTTTGAGTCTGTCTATCTTTACAGGGGTAAAAAACCTCATCTGTCTCCCATAGAGCAGCTAATGGTTTCAAACAGCTGGCCTTGGGGTTAGCAGCCCAAGGATCACCCACTAGCCACCAGGGCTCTGAGTAAAGCCTAAGGAATTCAATGGGGCAGTTCAACCCTGCCCTCCTGAGCCACTAGGAATAAAGAGCACATAGCGACCCAATTAAAAAGGTAGAGGGGGCTTGTCTTACAAGGTAATAGAATAATAGCAATCACAAAAGTAGAAGAGAAACCATGAACATGCAATGTCAATGGAAATAAGGAGGAAAGAAATTTCACCAAGAAACTAGTGGCCAGCATTGGGCAGCTGAGAGCTCTCTAAGAGAATACAGATTTAGGAAGGCTATTTTCATGCAGGTTGTTACTAATCCTTAAAACTCAGCTTTAAAAAAACAACTCCAAAACAATTATTTGCCACTATATTTAACCAGTCTAGTTTTATATAAAGGATGAAATTGAAAATGGCTATTTTTAAAATACTTTTTTTAAGTATTTACCATATTCTGAGGACCTTGTCAAGTACTTTTTTTGTTTAAGTACCTTCTACACATATCTTTTAAATTTCACTGCAACTCTGGAGCTCATAGCTAATGACAAGGTTGGGGATTAGAGTCCACCCAAGGAGCAAGTGTGGTGGTGATGAACTTGGACAAAGGGAAAACCTCATTCTGATCTAGAAAGGACGGCCATCAGCGGGGATCAAGGACCCGGCACTGACTTGCTTGTTGTTGTTTACTTCGTAGAATAAGTAAAATTGTATTACTTTATAAGTAAATTTTTATTACTGTAAAATAAGTAGAATTTTTAGTGTTCAAAAGACTTGTGTCTCAAAGTCACCAGAGGAAACTGGGGGCAACTTGATAAATTAGTGAAGAAGGCAAGAGTTTCTGAAAAAACTCTTAAGAATTAAAGTCCTCAAATTTTCAACCAGGTTAAAGACGCATCTAAAGCAGTGGTTCTCAACCTTCCAAATGCCGCGACCATTTAATACAGTTCCTCATGTTGTGGTGACCCCCCCCATCATAAAATTATTTTCGTTGCTACTTCATAACTGTCATTTTGCTACGGTTATGAATCGGGCAACCCCTGTGAAAGGGTCATTCAAGCCCCAAAGGGGAAGTGACCCACAGGTTGAGAACAGCTGATCTAAAGGCTTTGGATGGTATCAAAGTTCTAAGGCTAGTAAAGCAATTTAAGCTAATGACAGTGGTTTGAGTTTGATAATGAGCTCTAGTGGCACCATAGGTTAGGCAAAGAACTGCTACCCCATGGTCAGTAAGTCAAGGCAACCAGCCTCCCACTGAAAAAGAGACGACAGCCTGGAAGCCCTTGACGGGGTTGCTCGGGGTTCGGAATGGGCGGCATGGCAGTGGGTTTGCTGGGATATGCTCCTGTATATTTGTGTATTTTAGGTACTCAGATGCTCTTTTTTATTTGGCAGGAAACTCAGAAAATAATAAAGAGAAAGATATGTTTGAATACAAATGATTGTTGCTCATGACAAAAGACATCATTATACCTTTAAAGGCAAATGACTGCATTCCAGATCCACGGTATGAATTTCTACAACCTAAGAAACATTCTTACAAAGTGTTATGAAAGACAAAGATGACTGAATTTTTAAAATTGCGTCCGTAATATGAATTGTCAATTCACTGACCAACGCACACTTAAAAAAATGCTCAACGATATGGTATCATTTCCTTCAACATGAAGAAACTCCTGTAGCATTTCTTGTGGTTCAATTCTATTTATGACTGGTTGTTTATATTTTCTTTTACCTAAAAATGTCTCCAGTAAGTCTTCATTCTTCAAAGTTCTTTTTGCTTCATCTAGAACTGTGAATTGTCAGGCTCTTTCTAATTCCAGCAGATTAAAGGCGCTGGTCTTCTGGCCTCTGTAGTATCTCATGAGAAAGAAACTGGTCATCAAAGCTTTGTTTCCTGTGTGTAGTCATCACTTTTTGTTTTGCTTGGTTTGGATTTTCTTGGTATTTTTCCCAATTTACTCTTTATCTGGTGTGGCTAACAGTTGAACTATGAGGGGTGTTGGTGTGTCCTTCTTTGTGTGTGTGTCTCATTCATCTTTGTTTCCATGGTATCTGGTTCTGTGTTGGATTTGATAAATATTTGCTAAATTCATTTAGGAAAAAAATCAAGTCATCTTTTGGAATTTTGACATAACCCAGGAGGCTGGATGTATAGGCTAAAGCAACCACTCACAAGAAAGAGGCTCACTTGATATCTCATATGCTATCATTAAAATTCAGATTAATCTGGCAAAAGGGATGGCTATTCCAGAGCATTAACCTCTCACTGAATCTTTGAATGATTGTTGATTCTCTGTGCATGCCATGGTTTGATATCCCTTCAGGAATGCCTTAAATTTCTAGCAGGGATATTCATACCCATTTGTGAAGGTTTCATATTTTATATATTTCATATACATCAGAGCTAGTCTAAACCATAAGTTCCTGAACTTACTTGGCCTGCAGCTCCTTTTTCATAAGAAAAATAAATTACTCGGTGCTCCCCCTTTGCCCCTTGGCAATTAAAATCCTTTCTATGATAGCCCATAATCCAGGATAAAGTGCAGCTTTCTGCTTCTGCAGCCCCAGCCCTGGATGGTTCCAGCACTCCCCAGTAGCTGTATCACTTACTATAGGAAAACACATATCTAAATACACAAAATAGCACTCATTGATTTCAGAGTGTAAAAAGTCTTTTCACACATATCTCACTTAAATTTCCAAACAACTTATCAGTAAAATTTGGTTACAGTCAATGATTAACTATTAGACACAATGTGACTGACTGCCTGCAGTTCATTCAGCCCTGGTGTAATTAAAAAAATAAAAGTTCTATTCTATTTATGGAAGCCAGGTAACAGAGAAAAGGCCAAAAGGAAGGGAGAAGATATAGGAAGGAAATACCAGGGGAAACAAGCTCTACGTACGCCAAGACTCGGCTTAGAAGGGGCTTACGTGTCATAACAACAATAAAAACTACAACTGGCTCTAGTGTTGAGCATTATTATTACATCAATTAAACATCAAAAATTCACTGCTAACTCATAGCAACATTATAAGACAGCGCAGAACTGCCCCTGTACGTTTCCTGTAACTCTTTCCAGCAGTAGAAAGCATCATCTCTCTCCCAAGGAGTGTCTGGTGGCTTCTAAATGCTGACTTTGCAGTGAGCAGCCAATGTGCACCCACTATATCACCAGGGATGTCCCCCCCATTGCATCTAATCATATACCATAACAAATGACACTACCATTTATTGTCCAAGCAAAAGAAAACGTTTTGTGAATTAATGCCATTCGAGTTTGAAATCACAAAAGCAACAAATATTGCACTTTTTAAGTGGAGATGGCTCTAGATAACCCTGTGGCGTGGCGTAGAACTACCCTCCGTTTGCCTCCACAGATAATCTCAGAAATACCTACAATATGAGGGGTACCCCCCAAAAAAAACACCACCACCCTTATATATTTCATTTTTTCCCCAAAAAGCTGTGATTCCATTCTTGGAAACAATTTTCAAACTTATCTGTTCGGATGGCTGACAGCACCTCTTCTATGTCATCAAATCACTGTCCTTTCATGTTCCTCTTCATTCAGAGAAGCAAAAAGAAGTTGCATGGAGCGAGGTCAGGTAAGTAAGGCATGTGGGCAAGAGAGACATGCTGTTTTATGCCCAAAACTAGCGCACTGAGATGGCTGCCTGAGCAGGAGCATTGTCGTGGTGGCAAAACCACTCCCCCACCTGCCACAAATCAAGCCTTTTTTGTTGCACACTGCTATAAATCTTTTCAGAACCTCTAAATAGAAAGCTTAATTAACAGTTTGACCTGGTGGAACGAAATCCAAATGCACTACAAGTCGACATTTTTGTCCGGTCCAGACTTCTGGAACGAGGCTTGTCATCAATCAACATTTCCCCTTTTTTTGGAACAAGAAAACCACTCGTACACTTGAGTTTTTCCCATAGAGCAATCCTTGTAAGCTGTGTTCAACATCACAACAGTTTCTGTGGCATTTTGCCCAAACAGGAAACACAATTTCACAGCCACACGCTGTTCTCTTAAATTGGCCATCACAAAAACAAGGTTCACGTGAAACTGCTTTTATGAAAAAATTCACTATGCCCAGAGAGAACCTTCCCAGGCAACACCACTGGGTGCACTAACTCAGAGCAAGTTGCTCGATGTTTGCCTAGCAGGAAAAATGTGTACTATGAAAGCTCTTCCCAGGGTAGCTTTTTTCCATTTTGGGGGGAGGAGTGAAGGGGAGGGTACCCCTCATATAAGGATTCTGGTAGAAAGCTCTAATTAGTAGGGAGACTGCCTGTAATATAGAGCTTTAAATGAGAAATGAGCTACTACTAAATATTAACTATTAATAATATGAACATTTCTATCATTCCTAAAAGTGGATTCATATACCTTAGTAATCTAGCATTCCTACTCCAATGGCTTATCTCCAATACATCCCTGGTGTCACCAATGAGCAGTTTTCCTGCTGTAAAATTTCATATTAGAACTCTTTTTGTCTAACCTTTTCACTCAGCATGATTGTGATATTTTACTTAGGATGTTGTTTACCCATAGATAAAATCCATGAATCCATCCATTTCAGCCTTTTTATGATTAAATAGTATTGCTGAATAATGTTAATATTATTACTCCTGATACTATATATTATATGGATATACCATAATACAATTTAAAAATGGCTTCTAGCCACTAACACTGGTAAACATTGACAATCTATGAGAAAATATAAAAAGTCTACCTGAAATAAAAGAAATAGGTTATCCAAATAGGTTATTAATTACATACAAGTAATAAGTTATGGAAACACAGGTGATGTGAATCCATATTAAGATATAAACCTGCAGATTGCAAGAGGTTAGACTTTCAACAATAAAGTGCTTCTTCAATGTTTAAAAACTACATCTGTAACTGATTTCATTTCATCAGTCAATATGCATTTATTCTGCTACCATTACATTTTTGGAAGAGTTTCAGTTACAAAACTTGAGAGAGCTTCAAAAATCTCCTTAATCGACACCCCCACCCCACCCTGACCTTAATGGCCCAGTTCAAAGACGCAGGACACTGAGAGGAGAACCTCTCAACAACATGGAAAACAACGGTTCTTCAATCACATTATTTTAAGTTTTCTTTCAAAAACCAAATGTACCAACCTGGGGGTTCGAGCATTTTATCTCCAGAGGCTCTAGGTCAACATGAAGACAGACAACAAATGAATGTCTTGGGTCAGGTCCTGAAGCCAGTAGTTTTTGAGAGGTGACAGCCAGAGTAGAGGTACAGCCCATGGGTCCCACCAGGCAAAGTGTCACTTGTTTTCCGAGAAGGGTATATATGCTGAATTGATGTACATTGATGGTCCAAGGAAAAGCATCGCCTGAAGTTGGATAGGGGGGAGGAGCAGGGAAATAACACAAAACTGTAAATTGTCTATATTTTATATTTATGACATAAAACATTTAGCACTGCATCATAAAATAAAATTAAAGTATTCCGAAGACCAAGAAACAACCTTAAGGTACTACTTAAGTCTAGCTTTAAAAAATGCTTACAATTGTATTTTGTCATAACACACTATATAGGAATATATTACATATGTTCTAAAAGATACACAAATAAAAATTACAGAAATTCGAAAAAATATATTAAGTACAAACTTCTTCCCTCACTCTACAGAGTTGTTGTATGAAACTTAAGGCCTATTGTGCATTGGAAGGCACAGAAATTGAGGTAAATTAAGAAAATGTAGCAATGAACATAAATCTGGTCCTGGAATGAAAGAGAAAAAGTATAGACTATCTACTTTGGTCTATTGGATGACCTGCATCAGAATCATCAGGGGCAATTATTTAAATGACACATTCCTGAGTTATGCTATAGATCACGTCATCAGAACTCCTGGGGTCAAAACCAGAATGAGCTTCACTATGTTTTCTGAATAATCCTCACGTGTAAAAGTTTTGAAAACACAAAACAAAATACATGTGATTAAGATAATTTACTCAGATACCAGAAGAGTAGGGGGACGTGGGGGAGAGGAAGGGAGAAAGGGGGAACCAGTCACGATGACCGACACATAACCATACACGTTTTTACAGGAGGAAGAACAGCAAAAAACATGGGGGAAGAGAGACAGCGGTCGGTGTGAGAGATGAAAAGAATAACAATGTACAATCTATTGGGGGGTTATGGTGGAGTGGGGGAAGAGCTGATACCAAGGGCTCAATAGAAAGTAAATGTCTAGAAAACAATGAGGGCAACATATGTACAAACATGCCTGGTTCAACTGATGTATGAATTGTGGTAAGAATTGTGTGAACCCCCAATAAAATGATTTTAAAAAACAAATAAAAATTAATTCACTCAAACTCACTGCCATCGAGTTGATTCTGCCTCACAGCAACCCTAATGGACAGGGCAGAAGTGCCCCGTGTGCTTCTGAGGCTTTAACTGTTTATGGGGGTTGACAGTGTCCTCCTCCCCCTGTGGATTCACAGGTGGGTTTAACTGCTGACCGTATGGCCAGCAGCTCGAGGGCATCGCCCGCCAACAGTCTCTGATCAAGTTCTGTGAGAACAAGTCATAGAGTCACCTTGGTTTCGGTTGGCGCCACAGATAAAAGACCCAGTACAGGTGGCGTAGTGGGTTACACACTGTGTTAACTCTGCGTTCCATGTTCCACCCCGACACGGGCTTCATGGAAGACAGGCAGTAAAGCTGCACAGCCCCAGAGATCTCACAGAGCAGGTCCATTTTGCCCCGTAGGGTCGCTTTGAGTCAGAATTGACTCAGGGGCAGTCAGTTAGAGTTCCTCAGTTAGTTTCCAGCCATAGCTAGTCTTGTTACTCCCACATCAAATATTCATCAAGACACGTGGTTAAACTGTGGTACCCTCATACAATGGAGGACTACAACTATAAAGAACAATCAGTTCAAAAACATCTTGTAACGTGGTTGACTGTGGAGAACATTATGCTGGGTGAGATAAATCATCAAAGGACAAGTATCAGAATGGTCCTACCATAAAATGTGAGAAATAGACATACATCCCATAATCAATGAATGGCTTATGGCTCTTCTAGGTAGTTTTTGTTAATCCCACCAAATGACTTTTCCATGATGAGTCCGGTTAAGTGGGGGAAGACAATAAGAAGCATGTATGATTCAGCTGTGAGTGGCTGTTAACTGGGTTAATTGTGATTGCCATCTTGCTGAGTATAAAAAGAGACAACAGCAGCAAGAAGGGAGAATCTCCTCACAAAGAAAGAGACAAACTTGGAGTAGAGCAAGTCCTTTGGAACGGAGGGTCCGCTTCAATCAAGGAGACAGCACGCATGCCTTAGGCAGAGAAGTAGCAACAGCTTCCTCAGGAGCCAGAGAGTGAGACAGCGCAGTGGACTTCGTAGCAAGTAAAGCTGGGAACATCTGGACAGGGGGCTGGCCTGGAGTGTGGGGTGCCTTCAGGCACTGCTTGTAGGGCTAGAAGCTTTTGTTGTTGTTGTTGTTGTTGTTGTTGTTCTGACCCACAGAGCTAGAAGTTGGTGCCTTTGGGATGAGAATTAGGGCCAAGTGATGTGCCCTTTGGGAGAAAGAAAAGATTTTATACTCCCAGAAAGAGTCTCAGAAACTCACAAGGATAGTTCTACACTGTCCTATAGGTTCGCTATGAGCCAGCATCAACTCCTAGGCAGTAAGATTGGTTTGGGGGTTTGGAAGTGTCCTTTGGGCATTTATTGGGAGTCCTGAAAGAAAAAGCTTTGCAAATGGCTGAAGCTGAGCTAAGAACCATAGTCCACATGGCCAAGAAAGCAAAAACCGGAGAAGGACCTGCCTGGGAGCAGGACTGAGAAGAGGCAGTTCTACCTGAATAATTGTATCCGAGCACTTGGAATGGCTCCTGTCCTTGATAAACACCATAATTGTGTTGTCTATGAGCTCTGTGTGGTCGCTGCACTGAATTAGAACTCCCTGACATCCAGTCAATGTTGAGTCATAGTGACCCCTGTGGGTTTCTCTGACAGTAAGTGTATACGGGAATAGAAAGCAGTCTTTCTTCTGAGGAGCTGCGGGTGGTTTTGAACTGCTGGCCAGACAGATCACAGTCCACGACACTACCAGAGCTCCTGCACTGAATTATGAAACCCATTTTTAAAAAGTAGAGAAAGCTGAGGGAAGGTCAGTTGGTGTCAGAACTGGTAGGAAGCCTGGAGGTTGAGGCATATCTGGTCTCAGCCTTTTAGACATCATCCCTGGCCAATGCTGAAGTAGAGTATAATTATCCTCTCCTGTGATGCTGGAGGAAGTCAGATGTCACCCATTCTTTTCTACACTCATTGCAAGCCAAAAGATAGGGAGGGTCATGTTAAGTTTGAACATTTTCAGTGTATTAACCAAAACCAGTTAATGAAAGTACAAAATTAAAATGCTGAAATTCAGATATGAATAACAGACAAAAAGGTCAAGTGGCATAGCCGTCTGCAGCAACTTGCCTGACAACAGGGTTAAGTACGTGATAATATGTAGTTAGCACTGTGGTACTGGGTCTGGCTTAAGACTGAAAACATTTTGCCCACAGAAAGAATGGCAAAGTCTAAATCATCTGTAACAAATTCCAAAATTATTTTTAAACCTACACAAAGTTTCACGGTATTTATAAAATAAAGTCTGTCAAATTTGACTCAAAATATTTTGGTATGACTTCAGGATGCATATTTTAAAACTGTTACTGAAATATAAGTATACAATGTTTTAAAAACTCTGCTTCGTCCCAGAAATGCTAAGTAGTGATCATGTTGAATGAAAGTGCTGCATTTAATTTTGACAAACTACAACGAAAATTCCCAAATAACTTTGGGACTATCGCAGATATACAAGTGCATGTTTCTGCTGCTTCTTTAGCATCAGACAATAAACTGAAATTAGATATAGCACATTCTAAGCCTTTTTGAAAAAGATATCTTATGGTTCTATTTTATGTCCCTTTACTTAGCATGAAGATTGTCTGTTTTGAAATGCAGACTCTTCCTAATAAAAGTTAAGATCCAGGAACAAAAATTCGCAGAATCACTAACTATGAAGAAAAACATCATTAAGTGTACAAGAAATCCTAACTGTGTAAGTTGTCCTTTAATATTAAAATAAATTAAAAGTACTTTTTAAAACAACAATGATAAAATAATATTCCCAGACCTGCCTCCAATATGCTCCAAGATTCACGACAAGGCAAGAGCTAAAACTGCTCTAAAAACTCCACCAACCCTTCTAGCAATCTGGGCTGTTCTGAATCCGGACTGACATATATGCACACTTATATTCAGTGCAGCATTGTTTCACAAGACCAAGAAGATGGAAACAACCTAACTATCCATCAGAATAGGAAAGGATTTAAAAACTCTGGTGTACGATAACAATGATCTACATAAAACCTCCTCCCAGGGGGACGGACAACAGAAAAGTGGGTAAAGGGAGACATAAGTCAGTGTAAGACA